ATCGATCAAATTAATTTTTTTCATTAATTATATAAATATGATCTAATCTACACTCCTGACCCCTTAAATTAATTATCATCTAATAAGATACGTCAAAAAAGTGGGAAAATTTAAATTTAAGGGCCAAATGCTTGGATATAGTGACCAAATTTTAGTTTAATTTCATAAATTCGTAAATTCGCCGTAATGTTCTACTTAGGGACGACCACCAGAATTAGATTTTTTATTAAGAATAAACTAAACAACCACGAATGTCGCAATACGTAGCAATATCAATATGATAAGAATTGTTAAATTATTTATTTTGACGCTATATACATAGTTTTATTTTATAGTAATAGCGATAAACCCGAGATAGCAGTTATCTAAGGACATCGAGTGACGATTAATATTTTAACATGATTATATAATATAGTTATCGTTATATCATTTAGTTAAAATCAGTTTTACCATGCGATAAAGCCCAAAATATGGCATCACTGGTAGAACTCCATTATTAAAAATAATCAAAATCCCTTTTTTGTTTTAGAGAAGTTAGCATGTAACATCGACGATTCCTCCTGTTTTCTCTATGAGTTATTGACGATCACGCCATTCGTGTCGAGCAAAGAGTATCACATATTAGCAAAGAAAATAATGAAGGTTTATGCAAAGGAAAATTTTTAACAAAATTTTCGCAACAATAGATAGTCCGTATAGCCTCCAAAATTTGTAACGTTTTTTTTAAATCCAGATTAATGGGATTGAACATTTAGATAAATTAGTAAGAGAAAAAGGTGTTTATTCACAATACAATTATAATGTTAAATTTTTGTTATGTTTTCTGTGTAATAAGATTTTTAGAGGTTACATATTCAACCGTTTTGACCCGAGTTGTAAATGGTTGAGCCGTTTTGACACGGGTGACACGGTTTACTATAACCCGGTTCTAAACTCTAGTTCAGAAATTAGGAAATCCTTGATGCTGTTGGTGACGGCCTCGTCCTCCAGGTCTGTTGGTACTGTTTGCAATATTGAACTTGTCTACAAGCTAATGTCAAGATATTTAAGGAAAATTTAATATCTTTCGCAATATAGGTCAACTTCATTGTATAAAAACAAATTTTACCTCATTTATAGAATTCGTGCCTTTAGTTATGGTTGCCAAATATGTCGTCAATAAAACATCGTTATATTCCTACCACATAAAATTAATAATTGTTATGGAAAACTGAATTCTCAAAAAAAAAATTTTTTTGCATCAAAATAAATATAAACCGTGAGAAATTCTTGTTTAAAATCAGCACTGTCAATAGTTGGCATGCGATTACAAAGACCAGCAATTTGACGAAGAATATCGTGATCGACTGGCATTTTCTCTATATAAACAAACAGTGATAGATTAATGATCATTATAATCATCAATTCAGAATTAGGTAATGGCGATATACTCACTGCTATTCGTCAGATCGAGGTATTGATGAAGCAGCTTTATTCTAGTATGCAGCATTTGAATTGCGTTCCTTTGGGTAGTCAAATGCGCGATAACTGTCGTTATAAAGATATTAATATGTCAACTAATACGGAAAGAATTGTAAAAACAAAACATGTCACTTACGAGAAGAACCTTCGCCTCCCTCTCCAAGAGTTGTATGTGCAACATGATCGACAGCGATGCGTTCAGCCTCTCCGGTCTCAATCTTATACTGTGACTTAATGAATAAAGTGTGAGCTTGTCCATCAATTATATCAATTATCGATTCATAAACGGTAATCGGAAGGTTTTTTGATGTGACCATTTCAAATGGATTCATTTGAAGGAAAAGAGGGCTTTCATTAAACTCTATCATCTAATAATTTTTTTTTTTAAAAAAAAGGTGTTATTTAAGTTCACGATCATGACTATCAAAAAATACGTTAGTTATAAGTGCCTGCTTATGAATTTCGATGTCAGCTTCGGTTGGAGAAGGACCCATAGTGTACCATCCTAGGAAATCAAATTGTGGAAAAACCTGACGGACTAGAATTCACGCGTCAACGAATCAAAATGTGTCGAATGAATAAAACAATATATCTTTTTTTTAACCGTTAAGAGGTTATATTAATCAAAAGAAATACATACATTGTTCTTGTTTCGTTATAAAATATTCATGATTAATTTGGACCTTCCCATCAATAGTATCAAAATCTAATTCATAGGAATTGGAGATTTCAACATCACGACCAGTTTGAATGCCAACAAGAGCACCAATAACTATATAAAATAAAATTACAGATCTAGTAATGAAAATTATCTTTAAGTCAGAGCAATTATAATAAGTATTATCTATCTATATATCTATCTATACCTTGTGGATTCTGAATCTGTTGTTGCATCTTGATACGTGTGAAATGATCTGATATGTTTAATAGCGTCAGAGGGTGCCTACGCAAAGCACAGCAAATCTTACGATTAGAGGTAATTAAAAGCCTTTAGAAGCAAAGAAACAAAGTCTTCTTACAAAGAGACCATTAAACCAGAATTGTTAGGTGCAGTTGAGACCACGGAGGAAACTTGTGGCTGTGTAGCTGCTTCGCTGTCGGGCACTATATCCATATTAACCTCCATCGTGGTCATTGCTGAAAGTTTTGGTTATAATATTCGGATAAAGAAACGTTAAAAATATTTTTTTATTGATATACCGATTTTTTTTATATTATGATGCAAATTAGAAATCGTTTACGATTACTGATTTCTAGGG